GCCGTGCCCGGCGTCTGTCCCCATCCTCGTTCCAACCTTTCGCCTGCGGCAGGCGGCTCTCCGCAGTTTAAGGTTGCCGGTGCTCCAAGTGGCTACGTTAAATCGTCTCTTTTTTGTTTTGCAGTGGAATGGAAGGAGAGGTCAGCATACTCCAAAACAAAATCAGGAAAGGTTTTTATAATAAATAGAGGAATCTGAAGCATCTTTTTCGTTCGCTACCATAAAAAGCCCGCTTATGCCGTAATACCAAAAAAATTACCATTAGAATGACAAACCATTAGTATGGCATAGCAGGAGCTTCCAGTGTGGCTTCCCTAAAGTAACCGTCTGCCTTCTTCATCTATTAGCACTTGTGAAGTATGTCAGTAAACCCTTAGTTACGACAAACGTCCTGAGGACATAAGAACACAAAGGACTTACGAAATCAGCGCTACGGGAATGGCTATTGCAAGAAACTGTGGCATATGGCTTTTCTCATAGGCTGACCAAGCTTGAACTCAGAAGTACCCAGGCTTTTATTTTGTTATGACTGTTCATTTTGGCTAACTGTTCCAGAGCCCACTTTCTGCAGTCATTTTTTTTTTGTTTCAGTCTAAATTTATTCATAGCCAGTTAATAACCATTCTCGTGCCTGCATTATCCTTTATATAACACTCCTTCCTCGTGGTTTTGCCTCATAGGGTATTTGGAGTGAGCACTTGTGTTTCCTCATACTTTATTTTCTTAAGTTAAACAAGCTAAATTCTTCTGGTTTATAATACCGATTTTCGGTTTCCTTGCTGATCATAGCTCTTCTCTGCATCTGTTCCAGTTTCAATTCATCTTTCTTGAATGCTGCTGACCAAAATTTTATGATATCAATTCATTTTACTTCAAAAAAAAAAAATCTTTTGAAAGCTTCTTAAAAAAGAAAAGTAGCTAGTAGCCATTGGGCAAAAACTATGATGTAAATCAGAGTTCATACTAGGTGATCACAGGATTTTAGATATATGAGTGTTTCTGACATAGCATTCTTATGCAGCAATATATTGGTAATATTCTTTAATAAAACCCTTGATTACAAATGGATATATGTTAAACTGGATAAAAGCAACAAGCAGTAGCATACTGTATGGCTCTGTTTCTTTCTGGTGACTTGTGTTTTTAATGGCAGTTGAATGGGTGTTTGTCTGTAGTACCTCTTAAATTCTGGCTTTCAGCACCCAAGGCTTCATCTTGGAGAGCGTTGCTTTCTTTTCCAGTGAAGCTTAAAGCAATACATGGGAGCTGAAGTTGTTCACCACCTCTCAGAACTGAACTATTCTTCTCCTGCTTGACGTTTTCATTTTAACATTGCAATGGAGGAGCTGCATAATTTTAAATCCTCTCATGCAATTAACTTTTACCTCATTCTTAGAAATAATCTTAGCTTGTTCTAAAAGTCTGTAACTTGTATTTGAAAGGAGTGTGCATTGGAAAGGTGCTGCAGCTCCTTACTGACTAAAGATGCTTTCATGCGGTCTGTTTTTACTGGAAGAAATTGGTTATTCTGTGCGTTCTTGTAAAGAATTGAAAAAAAAAAAAAAAAAAGAAAATTCACTTCACTTCCTAGGCAAACTGGGTCGTGTGTCGCATAATGAAGACAATGTAGGGGGGAAGCTGTGTGTGCTGAGCAGTTTTAGTCTTACCATAGATTGCATATTACTATTCTGGTATGTGTACCAAACATCTATAGAATTTATAGATATTTAGTTACATATTTAATGTAAACAAATTGACCGAGTTTTCTTCCTGAATTTGGATGCTTAACTATAAATAGCCTGACTTTTAAATATGTCAAACTCTGCAGCTCCTGTTGACCTAAATGGGATCTGTGCATATTCAGCACTCTTGAAGATCATGCTGCTTATTAGAGACCTAACTTTAAATGCCCGTGTGTATAAATATAAGTAGATGATAAGGCGTTTGAATTACCCAGTAGTGATATTTTGACCATCTGTGGGGGGGTTTTTTTGCTTAATACCTACAAGATAACTGTGCTTTCTAATTTCAGAAAAAGTAGTAGTTGCAATAAACTGGTCTATGAGAGGGTTGTAGTTCAAGGCAGTTTTATGTTCTGACAAGTGTTGAAATAGGATGACAGACAGTTGCCCTTTAACAAATTCAGCTTCACTGTTGATGTATATTGACTTCATGAAACAGTTTAAATAGTTTGAACTAATAATAAACAACTTTTATTTAATTTAGTTTTAAATTATTTCCCATTTCTCATATTAAAATAACGCTTATCATCCTTGTGTTTCTATAAGCTATTGCAGATCACAAGCATCTGGTAAAGTAATAAGTGGAGAGGAACATTTTTCAAGCAAAAAGTGCCTGGCTTGGTTTTATGAATATGCAGGTAATATGCAATAGATTCATATTTAAAACTGTATAGTTTCGTTTAAAACAAATGAATACATCAAATATTATTTGCATTTTGCGGTTTTTTTATGCTGATGTAAACCTAAAAATACGTCCATATTTGCTTCCTTATAACATGCCCTTGAATTAGTATAGCTTTTATTATCTCCTTTTCAGTATTTGTTCTTTTTGACTTTGTCTTCTTTACTCTATCCTTTATAACTTATCATGGCGTTCTTTAAAATGAAGTAGCTGATGTTGGACAGTACGGTGTTGAGCCAGGATGTACTGCATGATTCTACTTCTTAATCTGAAATGGACAAGTGGAAGTCAGGACACTGAGAGACAGTTTAGATAGAAGTTTATTTCTCTAACTGGATCTTGTTTATAATCAGATTGGAAGGATAATGAAATAGTTCTCCTGGGTTTCTATTTTACAAAATAAAATAATAGATGCTTATACTGGTTTTCCTATCTGAGAATCTGTCCTGACTTTTTTGATAGTAAATAACAAACATTTCATTCAAAAGTGTTAGAAGTAGCCTCTTTCAAATAAATCAGAGTTGCTATCCAAGTAATAGTTGCTTTCAGTGACTATGCAGTGTATTTTGCAGAATTTGTACACTATTATTGCTATTTCTTTACCAATTATATGGTTAGCAATCCGGTTTCTGTAAACTGTTTAAAAAAGTTAATTAAATTAAAATCCATTAAAAAAATTTCTCTCTGTCTAGTCACTACTTGAAGTCCATCATAACTAGTTGGTGATTAAAACCCACTTAATGGCCGGTTCTCAGTATGAAATGAGTTGATGATTTATCTGCCAGAAATTGGTTCAAATATATTTATCAGAACTGATACTTTGCAGTCTTTCCACAGTAATGAACTACCCCTGATTCTAGTAATCTGCTTTCTAATTTAGGTTTGAGGCATGCTCTTTTATGAGGAAAATAATAATTCTCAATTAATTTTCTTCTGATAAATGTACCTACACATACTTTTAACTTTAAGGCCTGTAAATTTTGGTTTTGCTGTTGAGTCAAGAACTGAGTGTAGGAGGTTATACTTTGCTAGTTAACCAGTAATCAAAATATGCCACATTTCTAGTATAAAATAGAATTCCAGTGAAAGTATACACCATAGGAGGTTAAATGTTTCCATTAAAGAGAAAATTATACATACACACACACACATATAGCTATGAATTGTACATGTGACTTCTGGGCCAAAAATACCTATTCAGTTTTATACCAGTGAACCTTTGTATGTGTCTGTCTTCATAACTTAAACTTGCAGGTTTTTTAACACATTCTGTGTAAGGGCTTCTCAAAACCAGATGGCAGTGTTTTGCTTACCTAGGTGAAATGTTCTTTGCAGCATTTTTCAAGAGGTAGGGGTTTGTGATCTTGAATGCCAGTTGCATTTTATTTTCCCGTAAAACTGGCCATTCTCAATAGTTTTTATTGACTCAGTTCTTATCTCACAGTGAGTAATTATTCAAAGTGCATTACCCAAAGTCTTAAAAAGAATTCTGCTTACAATAACAGTGGATGCAGATGAAATGGAGACAGGTATCATCAAGGGGGGAAAAAAGGACTGTTCTCTCTATGTATAAATAGCAAAATTTGCCAACAAAAATTATGAAATGGCATGTTGTTTTGGAAGATAAAGCCTTTACCTTTTACATGAGTTCATATTCACTAAAACAACGTTAATGTAATCATCCAAGGCACATCAGAATAGCATGTCATGATATTTGGTTGCCCAGTAGAAGTCATTTTTTGAACAGGCCTAAGAGAAATAGCTGGAACCAGAGAGACATTCAGAGAAACAAAGCGTTATAGAGTGTGTCTGTATGTGCTCTTTAATATGCTACTTTTCTGGTTTTTAGAGGCTTGCTTTTTGTTGAAATAGAAACATGACGGCATAACACGAACTGTTGTGGTCCTAATCAAGTTATTTTCATTGCAGTCATAAACCTTTTTCTGCTTTGTACGTGGCTAACATGCTTAGCGTTTTTCTTATTTATTGTTATCACCCTCCCCGTATTACTCAGCATCATAAAGCTAACCTTAAGTTATTTGAAGATTCATCCTCTTCTGTGTTAGTGGAAACCCATAATGTTAATACCATTGAAAGAGTAATATCTGTAGTAGTAGCTCGGATGGAATTTTTTTTTTTTTATTGTTGATAAAATAACTCTTTGAGGAACATTATTAACAGGGTAACTTCAGTACAGAGTAGCAGTACCCAAGCTGTCTTAAACACAAATGACCACCACAGTTATTGGAACTGAGCTGTCAATGGGAAATTCAGTGGAGTCTTTTGAAAAGTTGCATACAGAAACTAAAATAGCTTGTCTGCTGTTGTGGGGAGGTAGTGTACAACGTGAAAGTTCTAGTTTAGTTTTGCTTTCAGTTTATGTTGTTTCTTCATATGTAATATACATGTCTCCACATTCCAGTTGATAGAAGGGTTCTAACATAAAAGGTACTTAATAGTGTAATTCAGTGTTTTTAAAGATAGCTTGTATGCATTATAGTCTAATTATTGTTGTGTGTAACCCTTGTGAACAGTGAATGTGACTTAGATTTCAGTCTGCTTTCTTTTTGGTTTTGAAGGTCCTGATGAAGTTGTGGGGCCCGAAGGAATGGAGAAGTTCTGTGAAGACATTGGTGTTGAGCCTGAAAATGTAGGTTTCTTGTATGATACTAGTAACACTTCAAAAGGGGGTATTGGATAAGATTAAGTTGTGTGTAAAACTCAACTTCAGTGAGCAAAGAAGTTGTTTATCTTCCTGCTTTTAGGAGCTTTTCTAGGACATTTCAGGTGAATACATCAGTCATGCATGGCTAGTGTATGAGGGGTTTTGTTTGGTTTATTACAGTAATACTCCATTTTCAGAAACTGAAATTAATTGCATATAGCTGAATTATTAAATGGTAATAAAGTGCAAGCATGTACAGCAGTTGTTAGAATGTTTGAATGCTTAGAGTTTTGTTCTTGGACATCCAGAAATCGGCCTTTTCTTACATACTGACTCATTTTTCTCTCCTTGGGTTTGTTTTTTTTTTTTTTTTCTTCCCTAGATTATTATGTTAGTTTTAGCCTGGAAACTAGAGGCTGAAAGCATGGGATTTTTTACCAAGGAAGAATGGTTAAAAGGAATGACCTCATTACAGTAAGAGTGGTTTTACATATATATAATAGAATGTTCTAATTTTATATTTGTACCAATAGCTTAATTATTCTTGCCCTCAGTTTCTTGTGCATTGGCAATAAGACACAGAAACTCTTGCTTTTAGGTCTGGTCTTGGTCAACAGTTGGAAGTAGCTACTGTTGTTCATCAAGCTGTGAATCTGATGAGTTCACTCAAATGATAAAGTTTTGTCTAACCCTAACAAGTCAGACTTTGGTGGCTTCTTTTTATTACAAAAACATGTTAAAATATTATCCTAGTTAGCAAACACAAATGAGTAGATCTGGAGATACCCATAAGCATATCTCGGCACTGGTGTTCTAGAAAGCTTCTACTTTTTAAGTTTCATAGATGAGGACTGTATTGATAGTAATTTTGGTTATTAGTGTTATTTATTAGATGCAGGTCAAAAGTCATGCTTAATGCTTAGGTTAAAGAACACTTTTTCAATTTATAAATAAGCTGCTCGCTCCTGCTTGTAAGAATTTTTGGTGAGATAATGCTCTGCCTAAACAGGTTGTTTCTTTCATGAAACTAATCAGCTTTTTGTGAGGCTTAGTTCAGTTGTCATTTTTTGTTTATTTGTCATGAAACTACTTATAGGACATATATGTTCTAAGTGTGACTTGTTATGACACTGCATTCAGTATTAAAAATGTCAGGGAGTTACAGTTGCAGCTACAGCATGGTGGGAAATAGGGGCTTATTTGACCCTTGCAGTTGGCACAACAGCCCTATCAGTCGTGAGTTCGTTTGGGAAGTTGTACTGGGCAGATACCCTCTGGTTATTCAAGACTATGGAGTGACTCTGGCCTGAGTCTCTTGTCCAAATTTTACTTGATATGGGATCAGGCTTCCAATAGACTCCGATAGATACCTTGGTTGTTTTGTGACTATCAGAAGCTCTTAAATTTAGTAGGAGCTGGAATGATTAAATTGCCTGAAATACAGGATGACAAGAGATTAAATTCTGAGTGTGTAAATTTTTAGAGGCAGTGAATGGGTATAATTTGGTTGCTTCTCTGAAGTACTTAATTTTCATGCCCAAATGGAAGCTCTCAAGAGTTAGCCAGTCTAGCAGAATGAAAGCACAAAGATGTATGAAATCAGGCACCTCTTCAGAGCCAGTATTATAGACTTTGCTTCTAATAATCTGCTGTGATTAGGGATCTTCTGGTTCTCTTAAGAACAGAGCTTGTCATGCTGTAGGCTAAATGTGTTTAGGACAGAAAATATGGTACTGCTGTGCATTTTTATATGAACAGACTTGTGATCGGAGCACTTGCCTAAGCCTAAACCAGTTAACCTGTATGTTTTGCTTCCCCTGGGTGTGCTCAATAGCAGCCTGTAGACTAAGCAGCTGAATGAAGTAGTGACAGTCATGTAAAGGAATTCAAGATTTGTTGGCTTAAGAAGAGAATATAAATCTGTAGATTTGTGCTGTTTGTGCTTACTGGGGAGGATGGATCATATTATGGGATTCCATCTGGGATAGAGGAATCTAGTTTCTCTTGAAAGGTTTGATGGAAGTTTTGAGGAAGGATTTTGCACTCTTAAAGCAATAGAGTATTATTACATTTTGCACAGCATTTTTTTTTTATTTTTTTCATGAAGAAATGACATTAAAATGCATTAAAAGCCCAGACTGTATTCTAAGTCAGAGTTTCATATTACAGAATCCTTATTTCAAAATATGTGAAATATCACATGAGGTAATAGCATGAATAGGGTTGGGTGGAATTCAGCTCCGTAGTAAGACACCTAAATGTGTGGTTTATATGCAAGAGCTGGGTTTCTTAAACTCTCACTCTTGCAGTCATTGGAGATCTAGTCAATGTAGTGGAGCCCAGGGAGGTATTCAGTTTGCCCCAAGACCTGGTGACTGATCACCTGAATTGCTCTTACAGGTTGGTTGGCTAGACCTCTGTGAATGGCAACACCTAAAGCTTAGACACCTAAATCTAATGTACAGTTAGATGCCAACATTTGGGTGCCTGAATCTTGAAGTGACATTCTTTTTGTGTGTGGTTTTTTGATATGCTGATGAAGTTTGTTCTTTAGAGAGGAGGAAAAAATAAATAGGTGATAAGGTATACACTGTGACAATTAAAGTGGATCAAGCACCAAGTAGCAGCTTATGAAACTTAAACAACTTAAGCTACAAAAGTGACATTTTAGTATATAGTGTTGGTAGGGTGAATCCTGCCCTGGTGTGTGTGTGTATGAAAGCTGGGTACCTGAATCTAAATTAATCACCTGAAGCTCTTTTCATAGTTAGCAGAGAGAAACAGGTACCTCTGCTGGGCAATTTATTTCACCTATTTTAAACATCTCCTTAGGATGAAACGAATAGCCCTCAGGAAGTGACTGTTTATCTACATTTGCTTTAAAGCCATTGGAGGGTGAATACCTGAGAGTTGAACATTTGTCTTTATGTATCTGAGTTAAAGGACAAGTATACTCATGTATTTGTCAATTGTAGGCTTTACAGACCTACAAAGGGAAAAAAAAAAAGCCTAGTTGCAAAATGAAGATGAAGGAAAAAGGATTACAGTTCATGATTTTATTAAACTCCACAGAAGTTGTTGTTTGAACTAGGTAAATACAAAGAATTTCACATGTAAGGAAGTGAGGCATAAGCAGCTGTATTGTCTGAGTACTTCCCTCTGGCTACTTTTTTTTTTTTTAACCTTAGAATTTGAGCCAAATTTTACATTAAGGTTGAGGTTTGAAAATGAGTGGCCAGATAAAGGGGAGAGCACTAGATTAGATGCCAACTGAGGAGGAGATAAGGGCATGATGATCTCACATTTTTAGGTACAAGAGAAGCCAAATGAGAGAGAGAGGCAGGAAAGTGAGGTTTGTAATTTCTTCCTATTTGCAGAATTATTAGTTAAAAACAATTTACCTGGGTGGTTTTAATGATAGTCTGATATCAGCTGCTTTTCCAATGAGCTTTTTGCTTGTTATTGCCTTTCTTTTTGTTAATGTTTGCGAGGCTAAGCACAGTGTAAATATTTTTTTAATGCCAGTATTGCATTCAGTGTATACTGGAAAATAAACCATTTCTGGTCTCCAGACCTGTAACTCAATTGACACAGTGGAACTAGAGCATTGTCAGGGCACAGAGAAGATATTCCTTTGCTTTCTTAAGCCATTACTTCCTTGGACCTCTGTGTGCTCCAGTTATAACATGGAACCTAAATTTCAGGAGATCTGGTTTCGATGCTTTAAGAGAGTGGATAGGCTAGGTGGATATCATTTGGGTTTTTCCATCTGGAGGGCTAGATGATGGCAAGAGAACTCTTGTAGACTACTTCAAACTACTTTATATACTGACATTAAATGCTTTTGGTTTAATGTTTGTTTACATCTTCCTGATTTTTCTTTTTAGCAAAAGACAAGCATGTGTGAATAATTACAAAATACAAAGCATTGGAATATCTGAGTAGGAGTTACTGAATCATCACTGTGCCTGTTAGCTATGCCTCAAATGAACTCTACCTCAATAGAAATCAAAATAGGACTGCTTTGTGGTGCTAATTCAAGTTTTGTTATAAATATGATGTAGGGACGTGAAGGGAATATAGTAAGCTGTCTAGTTTTGTTGATCTTGAGGTAACCTTATTTAATGCATTCTTTCAGTAAAGGCAGTTCAAGACTCACATCTTTTTCTAGTCTCTTTGGTGTTAATTCACTTGTGCTAATTAGAGGGTTGTTCTGACTAAAAAAAAATACTGTTAGGAAGATTATTCTAAGTATGGGTGACCTCGGTCATCTTGTTTATGGTGCAGCCACGCAAGCAGCTCTCTTGAAAAGAGGAGTTTGACAGCTCCTTACCTCACTAGTGTGGAGGAAATCAGTGGCCAGGTATAGAAATGCCTTAAATGGCTTTAACAGAGATATGTCCCTGCATTGGGCTTCAGAGAGCTGTGCCTGTCTGTTTGAGTGTGATCCATGTGACTGGTTTTAAATAGGTTGAAAATAGCTCAGTAGACTTGAAGCTTAACAATTAAACATTTTCATACCAACTTTTTCAAGAGAATCACTTCTGCATTAAAATACATACAGCCAATAGCAATAACAGGAAATTTTCTTTGTACTTAAATTTATGATTATTCAAATGTTTATTATGTTTAAACATAATGAAATTTATGTTTATCCATGGCATGGTAGATAATCTCAGTCAAATTTGACAAAATGTGTGGTAAACCCACTTTAAGTAGTTTGTATATGTCATTAGTACACTAGCAACATGAGTGTTTAGTTAAGTGTTAAATAAGTAGATTCATCATCAACTGTAGAGGACAATATTGCAGTATGAAGGTTTGAACGTAAAGAGAAGAGATACGACTATAAAATGAGATGCCTTTGTAGCATAATACTGTTCTAAGGGTTAAATGATAGAATATATAGACCAGTTAGACAGCTGAAGACAAAAAAAAGGAATTTTGTCTTTAGTTAAATTTACCAAAGCTTTTTTAACAAGAATTTCTTTTCAACTTAATGCATGGTTTATTGCAAATTGTATTAGTTCTTGTCATCTGAATATGCAGCCTAATTAGCTAATAGTTTTATTTATTTAGCACTGACCTTGGCTGGGACTCAGCGCTGCTTTAGGTAGATGCTGCTAAGAGTCAAGAAATAACAAAGGGCTCCATGGGCTGGAACTGCCACGTTTCTCTTGTCACAGCCTGAGAGGGACAGACAAACATGCCGCACAGGCTGGCAGACCTGAGGGACAGGAAGTATCGTCTGTGGGCAAAGCACAGCGTCAAAGCACAGCGTCTGGGCAACCCGCTGCGGGACTCCCGAAGGGCCCTTGCTGTGGGCTGCTGTGACAAGTCCGTAAAGATGCAAATGCATTCTCTGAGAGTTAGGCTGCCAGAAGGGGGACACATTACCAAAGGAAGTATTTATGTACATCTCCGTTTCTGAAAGTATTGCTTCTGTCACGCAGGATACAGGGCAAGGTGGATTTTATTTTTTTATCATGGCAGCTATTATTATATAAGAATAAAATGTGATATAGTGTAACAACTATTCTTTGGAGTGAGTCTTCCCTGGAGGATTAGCATGTGTAAATTACATTCTCCTCTGCTATTACTGGTGAATCTAACCCATTTGTATTTGGAAACAAAAGTCCTTGCTAGATAAAATACACAGAGATCATCTTTGTTGCCGAAAGGAATTTTTGCCAAAGGGTTATCCTATCAACTAGCAGACCTGTGCATTCTCGTACAGCCTGGGAGTTTTCAGTTGAATAGCTACTGACTAATCCAGGTGATAGGCTTATCAGAGCTTCCATTTATCAGTCATAAAACACGAGCAGACTAGTATGTGCTGCAGCAATCCTGCCACTTTTAAACATGTAGTCTTGAAGTGTGTTTTTAGGATTTTTTTTCCAAAGAGGTATGCCATAAAGACCCTTATTTACAGCTGGATTTTACCACCTTAATGCATACTGAATACTGTTTTCTCCAAACTCTCATACTGATGGAAAGATAAGATGGTGCTGGGTATGAATATAAATTGCAGACTATGTCATAAAAATACTGCTATTTCAGAAGTAAAGCAGAGACTTTGCATTATTGTGCTGATACATTTAAAAAAAAAAAAAAAAAAAACCTTGCTTATAGAAGCCACATGTTCATCATTTCAGTAACCTGCAAATGTTGTGCACGTTCAGTGTTCTTTAAGTCACTTTAATAGTATTACTGCTGTATATCTGATGATCGCATTTCAGTGATTTTAATTTTTTGTGTTTGCTAGTGTTTTTTTATTGTCCAAATGTTTACTTTGAACTTCTAACATCATTTGGTTTTCTTTATTTTAAGGTGTGATTGTACAGAAAAATTACAGAGTAAATTTGACTTCTTGCGGTCACAATTGAATGACATTTCATCCTTTAAGAATATCTACAGATATGCCTTTGATTTTGCAAGGGTAAGGCTACTGGAACGTTAGAGAAGTTCTTATTTTTAGTTATTGAACAAGCTTGTGCTTGAGTGGTTTTTGTGCTTTCTTTATTCAACCTTAGGATAAAGACCAGCGAAGTCTTGATATTGATACTGCAAAATCCATGTTAGCTCTTCTGCTTGGAAGAACTTGGCCACTGTTTTCAGTATTTTATCAATACCTGGAGGTACAAGTTTCCTTGACTTTCTGAATGATAGCATAGTAGTTGAGCTGTTCTGTGAAAAGTTTTCAGGGTTTGTGTTGTTTTGCTCAAGAATGTATCCATATTACTCCTCTTACCTTGCTCAATGTGCTTATGAAACAGTGATGTTCCTGTACGCATCACAGATTCTTTTCTCCCTCCCTGTGCCCTGCCTCCCCCTTCTCTTAACAAAGGCAACTAAAATTCCATCTTAATTAGACTATAAAGGTAAATTTAAAATTAAGTAATAGAGCCCTAGTCTCTCCAGCTGCATCTGTGCTGAATTTCAACTTTGCTTTCTGTAGTTGCAGTACATAGGTACCTTGAGCTCTGTCTGTCTCTGGAAGGCTTTGGTCAGCTCAGCTGCAAGTGACCTAGTCAGTAATGTGGACTTGTGTAGGTTGTGCAGCATGCTAGGCTTGAGACTATTACCTGGCTTCAAAGCAGTACTGAAGTTGCAAAGTACATGTTCTTATGATCATACTGTATTGTACCCTGGAGAAAAGAGATATATATATATATATATTTTTTTTTTTTTTTTTTTAATCACTCATTCTGGAAATATATCTGAGCTAGGTATGTCCCACTTCAGGGCAAGATGAAAATTTATCAGTTTTTGAAGCTTAAGAGTGGTGACTTCCTGATTCTGTGGTATTTTGATTTTGTTCTGATCTTTCAAAAAACTGTTTTATGTAGTTTCAGAACTATGAAATATGTACCTATGTAGTATTTTAAAAAATGGAAAACAAAGGAAATAGTAGATGTTGTTACCCATTAAATTGTTTTTTAGAAACTGACTGAAGATAAAATGAGAGAAATGAGGTGCAGCATTACCACATGTCACTTGGCATTTTAATGTTCTGAAATTATTTTCCCCAGCAATCGAAGTATAGAGTTATGAACAAGGATCAGTGGTACAATGTGCTAGAGTTCAGCAGAACTGTCCATGCAGATCTTAGCAACTATGATGAAGATGGTGCATGTAAGTATTCATAACATTTTGCTTATTCGACTGTTATTTCAGTATTTTCAATTTGCACAAAACAAACTTCTTTAACAGAAACAATACTGCAAAGTATAAAATATTTCTTCACCAGCAAAGCATAGAAAAACTGTCCTGATAACCATCCGTCTTCAAACTGCAGATATTACGTCAGGGTTGTTGTACTTGAGCCAGCTTACGTTTGGTTGAGGGTCTAAGTGAAGCTGCTTGCTATGTGAAACTATAGACTTGCAAATAGAATTATAAACAGCAAACCCTCATTTTGTACTAATACATAATACACTCTAGTTTAACTATAAAGTAGCCTAGATGCTGGTACTTGGGGCTGATGGTCAGCCATATTGTGACTGAATTGCACCAGGCATCCCATTTTGGTCCATGTTCTAGTTGTGTGCAGTTTTGAAAGCTCTAGGAAGAAGGAATTAGTTGTGTCGATTTACAATATAACCTTATTTTTATGCTTTCTGTTCAGGTCAGCGCACCGGTCAGGTGTCAGGAACACTTTTTTTCCATAGTTCTGTGTAGTGTTACTTGTGCACTTTTTGCTGTCCTTGGACTGAAATGGTTGTAGTAGTCTTCTGAGTCTTAATAAGTATTTGACCATAGGATTGACATGGATGTTACCTAGGCCAATAGTTTTAACCTTCATACTTTTAAGAGAAGATATTTGAAAGACATTGGCAAATATAACTCTAAGTTTCATCCATTTGCAGGGCCTGTACTTCTGGATGAATTTGTTGAATGGCAAAAAGTTCGTCAAGCATCATAGCAAGAATTCAAAAGAAAATGCAAAAGTTTTTTTGGTGCCCGCCTGTACACAAACTAATGAGAAAAACAAAGGATTGCATTTTCATTCTTAAGAAAGACTTTGCAGTAATTTTTTTCCTTTTTTAAGGAAATTTTCTTGTTACACGTGATATGGGCATTGAACCACACCTCTTCTGAGACTGAAAGTTGGAGTTCTTGTTTTGAGTCTTATGTTTATAGCATTTATTTCAGAACAATAAAGATAAAGATTTGTGACAAAGGCCTACAAGTGAAGAAAGTCCCTTGAATGTGAGTGTGGTGTCTATTTTTAAAACCAAATCTTTAAGATTATCTTTCTCAGAAGTGCCCTTTGCTGTGAATTTTTGAAGACCTTAAAAATGCTTAACTGGCACTGTTGCTTGCTGATGGTGTGATTGTCTTGTGTGACAAACATTAGATTGAATGACTGATTTTTGGAGCCCTGGGTGGGAGTGTGCTAATTTGTGTATTATGTATTGGTCATGGGTTGTGCCACTGTTTTCAGCTCCTTGTGGAGATAAAGGCCTTAAATGTTTTTGGGTTTTTTTCCCCCCCTTTTTTTTGTTCAGTACCCACCCAGTGTCATGGCATTTAATAGCAGGCCCTTTTAAAGCAGAAAGGTGTAGAGCATTTCAGCAGAACGGCCCAAAACTAGTTGCCTGTACTTCAGATGGTGAACACAGATACTCTTTGGTACAAGCAAGAGAGCTTCAAATTTTTATTACAATTTAGACTTTGAATTGCTTTGTATGAAAAGTGCAATTTATATTTTAAAAGGGAAAGCTGGAAAGACTTGGTTTCAAGCTTTGCTTCTTATGTGTCTTAGACTGGAAGCATTCACAACATGACTTTTTTTTATCTCCCTGGATGCTCTTCATGATGTAAGTCAAGAAGAGACTATTAAATCACCTACCTTTGACCTATGTGTAAAAGGCCATTAATTTTTACCCTGTACTCCATGTATTGAGTCCTGTAACTACTGTGATTGCCCTTTTAGGCACTCAGTATTCGTGGCAACCTTTAAATGCAGAAGTTTGTCACTCTACCTTCCTGCCCAGGAGGCCCAATGCCACCCTTGAGAAGGAAAGGGATTTTAATGAGTAAATGCGAGAAACCAAAACAGAATGAGAGAGTGAAGCATTTGTAACTTCTACTTTATTATATAAATATATTATGTAGACTGTGATAATGCCATGAGACTCAGCCAGTGATCAAGGCCTCATTGTGCCAAATATTTCAACAGCTTGAAATAAGAATAGACAATGTAAGCTAGGCATGACTTGAAGATCTTTGCCTCAGGGAAATGACTTCTGTTTTGCACATCCCTTTTTCAGACTAACAAGCGTGAGTTTTCCTATCTTTAAGGAAAGCTTTATTCCCAAGATGAATTTTTTTTTTTTTCCACAAGGAGGGGGGAAAAAAAAAGGGAAAGATGTGAGGAGAAATAATAAGTGGGGCAAACTAGTAGTGTGTCCCTGTGCTCTTGTTCTACTTGAGGGGACCACTCTTGCAACTTACTCTCCAGACCTGCTTGCTGTGGGCCGCAGGAAGCAATGCGGTGGTGGTCCATGGGCTGTTCTGGAAGTCCCCTGATAGTGCAGTTGAACCTTAGAAGCTTGGTTCTGCCCAAGCAAAAAAAAGAATGGGCAGGGGAGGACATATGGGCACAACCAGCAGTTGAGATACTTGGAAGATCTCTACTTGTACGGTGGCTAGTGTCTGTGTGCATGCAAACACACGCACTACAGCTGTTCTAAATATTTTTCCACCTTTAAGGGAAGTACTTAATTTCAGAGCTCATGTAGGCTACAGCAGTTCTCTTCAGTGTTTTACAAGTTGTCCATTTGCACTGCTGATGGTTGTGATTTCACTCATAACCGAGTGCCTTTCATTTGGAAATTGCCCTGCCCCACAGAAAGTTAGTGCCAGAATGAGATTAACGTCAAGAGTCCCAAGATCTACTGGTAGAGTAAGGTCCTAAGATGCACAGATGAACATGCACCAATTAACACATCAAGGAAAGTACTGCTGTATACTAACTCTCTGCAGGGGCACTGCTTCTGAAATTACTTTCTCAAATTCACCATAATGACTCTCCTTACTTAGTATGTTTAGTCCCCATTGTAACTGGGAAATTCTCTTTCCAGAAGTTTTGAAATACCATTTGGAAGACAAATATTTTATAGCGTGATTAAAAAAAAAAAAAAAATCATCTTTTTTGGATGACTGCGAACTGTTGTGAATTCAATTTAAACCAGTTGGTTTAAGCCACCTAGAGGATGGTATTCGAGTCTTAACAGCAGGAGTGATTCATCTGCCAATCCAAGGTGGTCAAGTATTTACCGTCACGGTGTAAGACACTGTGATGTACCATTTGTATCTCTGTTAAGGTTTTATCAGTATTCCTGTAATAAATCCATGTTTCAGGGATTTATAACTTGGTTGTGTGTGTGATTGAAAATCATCAGTTACTGTAAAACTTTGACTGGGAATGAATGTATTTAAACTACTTAAAATCAATATAGTTTTTCAAATCTGAATAAAATAGGACTTTAAGTTATGTTTTTGTGCTCAAAACTGCAATCGGATTTATTGTTTAAATGTGAACTAATGGCTTGTACAGTTTCATTGTGAGCTGATCACGCTTATTAGCTGTCTTTTATTAAATCACCTTACAGCTTACTATGGATAAGTGCCAAAAGCTCTTTATTTATTTTATTTTTTTAATTTTTTGCATGTCCACAAGCCAAAACTGAGTTCAGCTAAATGCTTTCTTTAGTGTTTGAACTTAATTTTCCTTTGCTCAGGTGCATTTCAGTCTATTGAATTAAAAAAAAAAAAAGGTGACACCTTATTTTTCAGTATTCTAAGATGAAAGTTCACAGGTGAAATATGCTGCCATAGTTCTGGCAAATAATAAAATCGAAGCTGAAATGTCTTCCAAAATCACAGTGGTGTCTATCTTGATGTTTTAAACTTCACTTCAATTTCACTTTCATTTGTTGATATTAATTCTTCCTAACATAACTATTTATTTTTTTTTAGTTTTCTTAGACAGCTAGCAGCTTTGGTTTTTAAATCCGAAAATGCCCACCTCTTCATGGAAAAAGCCATACTGGTAGATTGGAATGTAATATTTCTCCTATGTAAAAATGTGATCTTGAATTAAACAGTCATGTATGTTTACCTATGTCTTCAACTGTATATGTAGTTTTGATCCAATTTATATTTACTGTTTAAACATCTAATTCTTTACTAATGGCTGTAATTTCACATTTCTATATAGTGGAATTTGAATTTTGTGTTTGAGATTACTTTGGTTAGAAGCTTGGTACCAATCACGGGTGGCCCAACAGGGTACACTGTGGTCTGTATTTCCATTGTTAAGGTTTCTTTATACTCTCAGAACCTTTGTGCTGATATATTGATACTGACTGCACAAAAATTGGAAAAGGGACCATAAGTTTAATGTTTCCATTGTTCATTTTTTTTAAGCTAGTGAACAGTTCTTTCAATGCGATATGTACAAACTTGTACAGGTTTAGCTTTGTTAAGTATGATGAATAAAATGGTATGTAATAGGGCAGAAAACTTACTTTTTTGTCATGCTGCCTCTTTCACTTTTTTGTTCTGTGTATGTATAACTGTTCTTAAAATCAGTGAGAGACTTCATTCCAGCAAGATGGATCAGTCTAATTTCTAACTTAACCTTACTGAATGGGTCCTGCACTTGGGTCACAACAACCCCATACAATGCTACAGGCTTGGGGACAAGTGCCTAGAAAACTGCCTGGTGAAGAGGCATGTGGGGCTACTGGTTGACAGCTGCCTGTATAGGAGCCAGCAGTGTGCCCAGGTGGCCAAGCAGAACAACAGCATCCTGGCCTCTGTGTGTGTGGCCAGCAGGACCAGGGAAGTCATCCTTCCCCTGTACTTGGCACTGGTGAGGCTGCACCTCGAATACTGTGTTCAGTTTTGGGCCCCTCACTACAGGAAAGACGTTGCGTTGCTGGAACATGTCCAGAGGAGAGCAACCAAGCTGGTGAGGGGTCTGGAGCACAAATCTCACGAGGAGCGGCTGAAGGAACTGGGGGTGTTTACACTGGAGAAGAGGATGCTGAGGGGAGACCCTATCACTCTCTACAACTACCTGACAGGAGGCTGTAGCGAGGGGGGTGTTGGTCTCTTCTCCCTGGTAATGGGTGATAGGACGATAGGAAATGTCTTCAAGTTGCACCAGGGGGCGTTTAGATTGGATATCAGGAAAAAATTCTTCACTGAAAGGTTTATCAGGCCCTGGAATGGGCTGCCCAGGGAAATGGTTGGGTCCCCATCCCTGGAATATTTAAAAGAGGGGTAGATGAGATGCTGAGAGACAAGACTTAGCAGTGGACAGATATGGTTAGACTCAATCTTAAAGGTCTTTTCCAACCAAATGATGAATCTATAATTCTATGAATAGTTTATGTGCTCCTGTGTGCACACATAGAAAGCAGGATTTGATCTTAACTGGGAGCAACATCAAACACCATTCTTGATTGTATCCCATGTTATTAAGGTGCTGATAGAACATAATGGTCCTGGTAGTTAACTGTCATGAATTATTCATTGGATGAACACTGTTGCAACAACCTGTTGCAATGCATGCAAATGAAAAGAGAATGAGCTTTTTCTCTCTACCCCAGCCGTCTCCCTGCCCCCCTCCCCCAGCATATCTCTTGGGTCACTCCTCTGTTTTTAGGAAAGGCCTTGGTGTTCTCTAGTGTACTCTTCCATAGGGTCTTTCAGAACCCATTACAGAAAGGGTCAAAGCCAGCATCCCGTCCCATGTTTGAGTTAGTGACGCTGTCTTCCTTACAGATACAGCTTGTTCCAGCGTTGAGGTCCGATGCCGTATCTGTGTCAGGACAGTCTTGTCTCCCAGAGATAATCAGTCTCTCTCAGAGCTAAGGCAATGCCCGTTAGTTGTCTCCACAGTTCCACTTTATCTTCTGATAATGGAAGTGTCCGGTGCCTTCCCCAGTCAACAGCATGTTTAGAGGTATGCAAACCAGGTGTCTCATGTCTGTATCTACAAGCAATGGCAACAGTTCTGTTACTTCTCTTCACCCTTGTCTTCTGTATTACCATTCTGTGTTTCTTTCTGTCTCTTTGGGAGAGGACACTGTAGCGCGAGGTGGGTATGTTAAAGACTGAACATGTACTGCAAGATGATATTGCCTAGTGTTATCTTAATTTTTATTTTTAAACCACTGCCAGGCTTGTCACCAAAATGAAATCATTTTTTCAGATTTGTATATCACTTCTTCCAGACTCCAAACTTTACGATTGCGCCTGTTTTTAGCTAATCAGAATATGATATTCCCTATATATTCTCCGTAGCTTTTTATTTTTTTCTCTGAATAGTAACTGACCATAATAACAATGACAGAAGATGTAAGTTACTGAATTTGTCTGTTTTATAGGCCTTACAGCGGGCAGGTTTTTATCTTAATGAGCCAAGTACTATTTCTTAAGCCAGATTGGTTCCAACATATTTCTATTGAATGACTTACTACTTTATAAGTTATTAAAATATTATGGTTGTGTCCTGTGCCTCTGGAAACTATGACTATTGAAAAGAATGCTTTAAACACACACAAATTTTCAGCTTCTTAAATTAAACTTCTTCTCTAATTTTGACAATTTAAGAAAACAAATCGCTCCATGTTTCAGGGGGTTTGTTCATGTATGTATTTTTATCAGCTGAGTAGTGAATTAGTGCTGATTATATAATAATTTAATTTGGGGCTGATTTAAATCCTAGCTAATATACGACCTAGTTTTACTTATTTTCAGAATTTCTTAATTTATTTTCACTGTTCATTTTATGATAGTGAATTAAAGGGCTAAAACATAGTATTGCCAGCTAGTTTAATTATTTTCTGATAATAACACTGAGATAATTCTTTATAATCTCTTAAATATTAGAATATTTCAGGAAGGTTTACTGTGCTTATTGTAGTAATTTAAATTACAATAAAATGAAATGGTAGATGTGACTTGTTGCCTGCTAACCATTATAGGCTTAATGTGAACCTTTTTTTGCATTCAAAATCAGTTAACTCTAAATCAGGTTTTCTAATGAAAGAGGAAATATTATCCTATGATGTAATGCCTCTCAATATTTAAAACTTATAGAGAAATATGGTCAACATCTAGTATTACATCCTCATCTAGCTGCTCGACATACTTAATTTGAACATGGAAAAAATGTTAGTCAGGACTCCTGAATGAATGATTCAGAACACATCTGAAATAAATCATTATTAATCCATGAAAAATGTAATCACTTAAAGTTTTTGCAGATTACAGCAACAATAGTAAGAGGAACATTAGTTATATAAAAAGTAAGACCTCTGCATACCTGGCAGTTGCTTCTGAGTTACGCTTTTGTGTAGTGCATGGATCTATAAAACTAAGAAAACAGTTTATTCCCTCATGTGTGCTTGATGTTTGCATCAGGGTTGAGTAGTAATACAAAGCAAGGACCAGTGCTGGAGTTCCAAGGGCTGGGTATGGGTTGTGACACTGTGATTTTTGCTATGATTTGAAGTGGAAATACTCATGGCACACAGGGGAAAGAAAAGGAAATATATGTGAAATAAAATGTAGTCATATGCTACCATTTTCCCCTTTATTTCCATGCTTATTTGTTTAACCAGGGGAATGTTCTGTCCCCCTTTCAGACTTGTAGTCTGTATACATGCACACACATTTTTATATACAAGAATAGATAAATAAATGTTTCCCATATGTTGTTCAACCTGGTGGAAACTGCCCAGAAGTTTGAAGGTGAAAGGAGAATTAGAAAGGAGGTTCAGTTCTCCTCAGCTTTCCTATAGCATATGGACATTTTGGGGGCTGTGGAGGTGGCTGGTCACCTTTCTGTCCTATGCAAATCTCCCTCAATGGTGGTTTTTCTGCATTTGAATGGTTCTGTCCTAGGAGCCAGTTTAAAGTTTTGATAGTGAAATGCTGCTCCCTTCCTGAATCTTCAGTAGGCTTATGCAGGACCCATTGAATTTAATCGTATGGTTTGGGTTTTGTTGTTTGGTTTGGGTTTGGGGGTTGGGTTTTTTCGTTTCCCCTGGTATGGTGATTACTGGCTTACAGAATGAGTACTGTGGAAAAATGTTCTCCTAGTGCTGGAGATGCCAAACCTAACAATGTTCATGAGAAGACAATAATTATTACTGACACTTGAGTGAACCACCAGGATATTTATGTGCCAAGGCTTACCCTTTGCCAGTGTTTCTGATGGGATTTTTTTTTTATTGTTTCTGGGACTGTGATTGTAGGTTGTGCATTAAATCACACGGTTATTGCTGTGCCTGTGCTGTACAATGGAGTATATGCTGTACAGAAGTTCATTACAATATATAATTCTTAAATGAAATTATTATGACTTTAACAATGCAGGGTGTTATACTTTGTGGAGCTTCTTGGAATCATAGAATTGTTTAGGTTGGAAAAGACCTTTAAGATCATTAAGTCCAACCATTAACCTAACACTGCCAAGTCCCACTAAACCATGTCCCTAACTGCCACATCTACACGCCTTTTAAATACTTCCAGGGATGCTGACTCAACCACTTCCCTGGGCAACTCGTTCTAATGCTTGACAACCCTTTCCGTGAAGAAATTTTTTCCTAATGTCCAATCTAAACCTCCCCTGGTGCAACTTGAGGCTGTTTGCTCTTGTGCTATTGCTCGTTACCAGGGAGAAGAGGCCGACCCCCACCTCGCTACAGCCTCCTGTCAGGCAGTTGTAGAGGGCGATCAGGTCTCCCCTCAGCCTCCTCTTCTCCAGGCTAAACAACCCCAGTTCCTTCAGCCGCTCCCCATCAGCCTTGTGCTCCAGACCCCTCACCAGCTTTGTTGCTCACCTCTGGACATGTTCCAGCAACGCAACATCTTTCCTGTAGTGAGGGGCCCAAAACTGAACACAGTATTCGAGGTGCGGCCTCACCAGCACCGAGTACAGGGGCACGATGACTTCCCTTGTCCTGCTGGTCACACTATTCCTGATACAGGCCAGGATGCTATTGCCTTCTTGGCCACCTGGGTGCACTGCTGGCTCATATTCAGCCAGCTCTCGACCAAAACCCCCAGGTCCCTTTCTGCTGGGCAGTTTTCCATCCACTCTTCCCCAAGCCTGTAGCATTACATGGGGTTGTTGCAACCCAAGTGCAGGACCTGGCACTTAGCCTGAGCCTCATATAATTGGCTGCAGCACATTGATCCAGCCTGTCCAGATCCCTCTGTAGAGCCTTCCTACCCTCAAGGAGATCAGCACTTCCACCCAGCTAAGTGTCATCTGCAAACTTGCTGAAGGTGCACTCGATCCCCTCATCCATATAATTGGTAAAGATATTAAAAAGAACTGGCCCCAACACCGAGCCCTAGGGAACATCACTTATGACTGGCTTCCAACTGGGTTTAACTCCATTCACCACAACTCTGTGGGCCTGGCCATACAGGCAGATTTTTCACCTAGTGAAGTGTACACCCATCCAAGCCATGAGCAGCCAGTTTCTCC